GTTTTCTTGTGCCCAATAATGCATAATTTCATTTGATAAACACGTTTAGATTGAATGGTAATTTATAATCAGTCACAAGAATGTCGAATCTGAATCACTTGAAAAAAACACGGGGATGCTTAACTTTTTTCCAGGTGTATATAAATAACACTTTTATCATAATAGCTGAAGATATACAATAGTGTTATATTAGTGTAATTTTGGCATACAACCAGGAGTCATTAAAGCCATATATATATATGTATACACTTACAAAGTCTCATGTCATCAAATAGTAAATCGTGTTCATTTTTCAGATTTTATTTACTCTTTATTCTTTCTGAAACTGTATCAGTACTTACTTGATGGGGCTGCATGGTGGGTAAGATCTCCTCGAGGATCTCTATGACTAGAGTTTGGTTTTCTACTGAAATTAGAATTACTGGGCTTGTTTTTCAGATGACCTGAACTTTGCTGATGTTGTCTATCAGCTTGCAAGTTCAGAGTTTTCTTCAACCCTGGAAGCAGAGAATCTGCTCTGTTGTTTGTAGGATCTCCATTCCTACCAGTTTCAGAGGGTCTCCACTTGTGTCTATAATTTTCTTCATAAGGTTGTAACCTATATCCTGCTATTGTCTGCTTCTCACTAGATTTAGAATTTTCTTTTACACAGTGTATTCTATCTGGAAGATTTTGCCTCTCTCTTCCAACAATGTTTCTACATTTACCAGTTTGAGAAGGAAGTTCTGTTTCTGACTGGTAATAATTTCTATCCATGTTTGAACTAAATTCGTCATGCTGATTAACAGGTACATCACTTTCAGCATAATCTTCTGTATCATTTGCATAATCAGTTACCTGATTTTGTGCTTGACCTCTTTTCTTTTTCACTTGCCTGGATGAGGAAGGTGGTAATGTATATCCTTTCTTTCTCATTTCTTCTTCCTTTTCAGCACGTGTCATAGGCCTATCTTCTTTCTTTGTTATAGGATGTAGGATCTGAATGGGCTCATGTTGTTTTTGAGAAGCTATTTTCAAGAGATCATGAAAGTTAATAGCTGGTGCTGGAAATGGCCTAGGTTTTGGCTTATTAGTTGATACCTCTGATTTTCTTAATGGTTTGGCTCCTGCAGGAACTGGTTCTGATCCACCATTAAACTTATATTCAATTTCTGGCCGTCTCTCTTTGAGACAAGATTTCTTGCTTTTTTTTCCGTTATCATCAATATCCAAAGGGAGTGATGATGGATCCTCAATATCATCTAATTCTGGATTTTTGGACTTTCGTTTTCGTTTTCTTGGAGCTTGATTATCCCGTTCTTCCAAAGATATTCTTAACTTCATCCTTTCAACTTTGTCAGTTAGCATTTGTTGTTGCAATTCTCTTTCCCTTTTTACTTTAGCTTCAACCTCATCTTCAGTTAACTTAATTCTACTAAAGTCATTGTCTTTTGTTCTTGATGCCATTATTTTTGCTTTCTTGTTGTTTTTTGAATTTTGAGCTCTTAAAGACAACAAATGTTCCTTCTTTTTCTGAGCTTCAACGACTACAAAAGAAACATGAAAAAATATAACCTATTGGCAAGCTATCTACACTTTCTGTTCTTAGTAATAATAATAATACCTTTAACATTCATATTGTCTACTTTGTCTTGAAGACATGCATTTACACATATGCAGATACCAGATTAAAACTAGAAAGATGGAAGATTGAAGTTTTATAATTGCCGAATACACATGAATAGTACACAACAAACATGTACATATGCAATGTATCTTCTAAATCAGGGTTTCCCAAACTTTCAACTTATGAGCTACCTGAATAGCTAAGCAGTTTTCTGGGATCCATAATTAATTAGGGTAGATGAGGTTATTGTTCTCAATAAAATCTGTAAGTGATATGATACCTTGTTTTTGATCTGTTTTTTTCCAAAAATAGTTTATAATCATTCTATAAATAATTTTAAAATAAAAATATATATATCTACGTTCAATTGTATGTTGTCCTGCGATACACTGATACATTTGCCCTGGGCCTCAAATTTAGACACTTGTTACTTGTTGCATTTGTTATGTTTTGCAACTTGTTTTTATGTGCCTTCCAATTAGACCAAAATGTGACATACACACTCTCATATATACAAATTAAATATTCAAATTATGTTTCACTTTTCTATTGGGCTAATAACTGTCTTATTTTGTTTTCATGTATCTCCATTTTTTATAACAGCCAGTGGCTTCAAAACATAGAAGTGGCCTGGGCTTCTCTGAACCTCTGAGAGGACTTGCTAGCATACATCTTTTAATGTTTTAGTGTACTTCAGTATATTAGTTCAGCTTCATAAACCAATTTTCTTAGACACACATGGATTGAAGCTTTTAACCTATTAAAACTTTTAATATACTATATTTCTAGATGCTTTTAATTTTCTCACAAGTTCTAGCATCTGCAATATATATTATTTAAAAAACAAAAACCACATTCATTACTAAGGTAATTAAGCTTTAAAATAATGGTTTACATTAGCCAAACTTGTTAATCCCATATAACTAATGATTATGTCAAATCTCACTAGATTTAAATCTTTCATCAAAGTTACATGGCTTTACAGAACAAAAGAAACATGTAACAATGTAAGTCTAATATACATTAAGACACCAGTGTGATAAAGTTAACAATAAGCACACACTTCCAAAGCAGTTAATGGCTAAACACAAATAGCTAGATTATTAATTGAAAGAAAGTTTACTCAAGAATATTCTTCTTACTGAAACATGATAATAGAAAATTAAGAATGCAACTCCATTTCAGAATCTGTTATGTCACAAATCATGCAGTTATTTGCTACTTTTGTACCTTACTTACGTTTTTGTTGTTCCTCTACTTCTTTGCGCTGAAGCCATTTTTTAACAGCTGTTGACTGAACTAGGCTTTTTGGCTGCTTTTTTAGAGGCCTAATTTCTGTAGAATACCGTTTTACTTGACTCTGTTAAGAAAGGCAATACAGAGGAAGATTAGAAACCTTTTTTTTAAATATATTTACATGTTTACAGCATTTCTTCCTCTTTGACTACCGAAATAACTTTGTGCTAATAAAAATATCATTCATTACAAGAAAAAAGTAGCAAATAGTTTAGTTAAAGCTACTGAGGTATATCGTTATTTTTCATTTGAATCAGACCTATACATGGACCACAAGCACTAAAGTTGGTTTTACTAAAACTTAATGATCATCTGTCACTCTATTAAAAACATAGGGAACTAAAAGGAATTATAGTGTTTATAGCATACATGTAAATTGTCAGACAGTCCATAGACACACTCAATATGTTAGAAGTCACACAAAATAGGTAGTAAAATAGATCCAAAATAGTTTTTTTTAAAAAAAGGTATTCCTTCTACAGCACATTAATATTTAATAGTTGATTAACTAACATTTCACATCATAATATTCAAAATCTGTTCTAAATATTTCAAAGAACAAGTTCAATTTTGTAATGACTATATACCATGTGTACCTAAATTGTCCCACTGATTATAATTATTTATCTGCATATAGTTTATACTGTCTTTCACATGTGATGAAGTGTCCAGGTCAAACAGATAACACATGGTATATATATAAAATTGTTAACTTGAAATGACAAATACTGATTGATTCATGGAGAATGGAACAAATGCAAACAAAGTGCAACACTCAAGTTGCTCTTAGATACATATTAATAAGAACAATAGAAAAAAATTCACACACAATTACAATGAAATATTTATCCAGAGAGTGAAATAAATATAATTATCTTTTCTATATACCCACGATACATTTTGTTTTTTCAATGGAATAAATCCACATTTACCCAGGAATGGGTAAAAACCAGATAAAAATATTATTGTTCACACACTGTTCAAAAGGATTATCTCCAAATTTATTATAATGTTTCTTCAATACAAATAAACATCTTTGGACCAGCGTATATTTGCCTGGATGGGGCAGTTAATTAATACTGAATGCCACATTTCATCTGATTAATCAATTCTTCCTATAATAATAATGTAGAATTATCTCCAAATCCATTTTAATTTTTGTGCAATACCACACACACACACTCACACAAAATACTTCTCTAGAACAGCTTGTTTTTGCATGAATTGGACATTTAAATACCACTAAGTGCCATGTTTTTTTTTGGTTACTCTAACTGTTCTCTACATAGAGCAAATATAAACTGGTCTGGAGAGTTTATGAAATTACAAAAAACTATAATAGGAGTGAGTATTCTGATTATTGTAGGCAAGGACTGAAGTAATTGAGTGACATATGAAATATGTTATTTAGTGTTAACTGCCCCATATAGGCAAACAAGTGTTGGTATGGAGTTTATTTTTTTATTTGTTTGTGATGTTAAGGAAAAACTAAAATATATTTAGAAATAATCACTTTGATTACTGTTGGGCAAATATATACTTGTAATGATATGGAGTATATATTTTTTGTTTATTATTGTAAAAAAACTATTCTTGCCAAATGTAATATATGCTGGTCCAGAGACAGTTTCTGATATCACAGAAAAACTAGTAAGTATAATAAATCTGGAGATAATCCTTTCAATTATTTTCTATCGCAGCACTTTTTTTTCTTTGCTAAGTTAAGGTTAAAACTAAGACGCGGACATGGCTAAGCCTAATATTATTAAGTAGAACTACTGAACTAGTGGGATTCAATGAGTTCAGATACTCACGCTCTCTTTGGCTATCTCTTCATTCTTCTGTGCAATTTCCATAAGATAACTGAAATCCATAGTATCGTAAAGCTCCCTGAACGTGTAGCAACAAAATGTATAAGACAAATTTAACAATATCAGAAAAAAACTTCAACCCAGATTAACCCTATCTCTTTTAATGTTTTTACGCCAAATACATTTCACAAGCTAAGAGCAGTTAGTTCATACTATGAGAAACAAAATTAATATATATATATATATATATATATCTATATATATCTATATATATATTTTAAGAGTGAAGCAATTTATTTATTATTTATCAATGTATTTCTTTAACAGTTAACAAACACATTACCTTTTCATACCAACTGTGAAATTAAAATTATAATATCGTGTACATTTGCTTTCTTTATAATTAATTTTCTGACATTATAATCAATAACAAAAAGACAACGATTGTAAAAGTAGTGGCATCTACTGGCAGGATATAATATTCTAAATTGTCATAAGTTTGTTTTTTGTTTTAGAGAGCACCCCCCCCCCCTACCATCCCCAGTGGTGGGCAGAGCACAGATAGCTCGTTGTGTAGCTATGTGCTTAATTACAAATAAACAATAAACAAACAACTGTTTTAGAGCAAAGCCAGATTGAGTTATTTAATATGTTCACTGCGAGCCTCGGATTTTAACGTTGTAAGTTCGTAAACTTACCGCTGATCTACCATGAGAGAAACTGTCATAAAAGCTTTGGAGTAGGTTTTTGTATTAAGCATTTTGATATTATCATTAACAAATAAGGAGGACACATTTTCAAGGTATTACCTGACCCGCCAATAAAAACGACCAGTATTCTTGATTACATTGTTTGTGTTATATTTTACAACAATCTTTTCCATGAGAACGCACATGTGACGCCAAAAGGGAATGACCCAGAAAAACATTTATCAAGAGCCAGAAAAATTTAGCCACATTCTTTGATCACCATTCTACGGTTAAAACTACACAAAGAGTAAAAAACGTGTATGTTTTGTTTGTTTGTTTTAAAGCACAAATCAACACAATGGGCTATCAAAATTCGGTTTCTGGAGTTATAAGCCTTCAGACTTACTGATGAGCCACCAGGGGGCGAGACGTGCATGTACATAAAGATTTAAAAGTTCTAGATTAATATGAAACTAAAATAAATAAGACAGGAAACACTAAATATGTTTTGTATTCTACAACAAAGTTACAATATGTAGAAACTGACTGTGTTTTCATGCTCAGAACATCGTAAACATTTATAACTTTGAAATGTAAGCAAACAAACACAAAGAAACATATTTATATTAAAAAAAAATTGTATTACTATAAGTGTCAATGTTGTTTGCCATGAATATATAGAACTTGTACGTCAGAAAGCTCGACAAATTAAAAATGATAATAAAGTATATCCATCTCTATCTTGACTAAGTGCATATAAATATCAATAACACCAAGAACCTCCATTTACCATCAAAGAAGAATACTGTGTAGCTTTGCCTGTTATGAACAAAAACTCACATTTGCTAACAGAGCAGATTAGTATGCAAGTTAGATGAAGTTTTTCCCTTAATAAATATAAAGTTTGTGCATCCAGATTTTTTTTTTAGAACGAACACAATTTTGTAACTTTTTGTACTCTATGAATCCTTTTGTTAAAACTTTAGCTACACTAGTGATTACCAGGGTACTCATTTGGAGTTTTCTCCAAACATAAACCAAATAGACTAGTTATCAATTTAGACGTGTCTCACGAACAGAAAGGAGTTTAAAAGTATGTTATTCCTTACTTATTACCTTAATTGTTTGTTTGTTTTAGAGAAAAGCCATATTGGGTTATCTGCTGTGTCTACTGCTGAGAATCAAATCCAGGATTTTAGCGTTTGTAAGTCCGTAAATTTACTACTATCCACCAAGGGTGGGGGGACTCTTAATTAATTAATATTTCTACATAGTTTTATCTTAGCTAATTGACCTAAGTTTAAATGGTTTGATAATAAATTCTAAGACACAAATGAGAAGTTTGAAAATATTATTTTGGGTTCACATATATACAAAAAACTAAGTTTAATAACTGTTGAACTTAATAAGCGTAGTATATTTCAATTAGTATCAAGACATACAGTAGTGTGTTTTGCGGCAAAAAAACAGCAAACACAACCTGCAGGACACACTGTGTGTTGGTAACAGGAGTGATAGTTCAGTGATATTCCATCTTCTGTAGCTTGGAATACGATAAACCAAACTATCATATATTTTCAGTGGATGTGCTCTACTATACTCTTACTTCACATACCAAATTTCAAGGCAATCCATTTATAAAAACCTGAGATATAACATTTCTAATTTTGATTGAGTTTCTTCCTATTTTTATTCTTCTCGCCAAAAGTACGAAAACTTTATTTGATAGAGAAACATACTTAACTTTTATGGATTTTTTTTTTAATTTGGTACACTGATAGAGCTTTCTAACCTACAATTAGGACTCTCATTTGATATAAATATAAGCCGCCTGTGCAAAGTTATTCAACAAAAACACTCAAATTTAACGAAAATTTTTGCGCACGCCTACACAAAAACGTCATGTGAGCTATCGGTCTAACATTTTTACAACAGCTTCACCTGAGAATAAAAATGGACCGTTTTTAGTTTTTTGTCAGATACATAAGTAATGGATAGGCGAAGCAAACTAGATTAGCAGTTTCTAGCTCATGCACGTGGACAGTTATTATTGATTATTCGTTGCCAACATTTCAGCACAAATTTACTAAATTTTATGAAATTATCCCAATTAAAGAGTGTTTAGTGTCACTAAACGCAATTAGCATAAATAATGATGCTTGATACAGCTGTACCGATTGCATGGGGCGATGACAAGAAACCGTTAATCTAAATTCCATGGCGTTACTATAAAGGAGGCTATTAACACTGCTATTTTAGAGAGCAAAACCCACCGCCATATATTTTAAAGAATCTTGTTGGTTCTGTAAAGAAGGTCAATTTCGAATTATAGAGTTACGATCCTAAAGCTAATGTGAGTTACTATCAAGTGTCACTTTCTTACTTGCTGTGGTTTGTTGGTGTGTTTTGACACAAACTCATGATATCTAATCGAAAACACCTGCCCCCATTGGCATAGTGATGTGTCTGCGGACTTACAAAGTTAAAAACCGCGTTTCGATACCCGTAGTGGGCAGAGCACAGATAGCCCATTGTGTAGCTTTGTGCTTATTTCAAACAAACAAACAAAACAATAGACCGCGGATTTTGTTTTACCTACCATCATGCCCCAAATCGAACACAAAATGCGGCGTGGCTCACTAATGGATTTATATTTGCTGTAAAATTCTTATCAATGCTATAAGTGTAGTTACTAGTTTGGCCGTCAATTTTGCTTTCATTCCTTTAAGTCGCACGCTGAATCCTTTTTTCGCCGCACCTTTATTCCACATCTAAGGTGTTTTTGATTAGATACATAATAGTACGAAAGATTCTTAAGAGAGACCACAAGGTTGATTACAAGAAAAAAATAAAATACAGAAAATTTTAATAAAACTAATGTTATATGATTAATTTATAGTTTTAACCATAAGATAATAAGATAATATTAAAGTAAATATTAGAAATTCCCAAGATATTAAAATTACGTGTGCACATTATGATTTTATATTCCGTGTTTAAACAGCTAAATAAGTAAGTTTTCGGAATATGTTCAAGAAAAACCTGGAACCACACAGCTTTGAAAATTTTGACAAAGTAACTCATTGACATACAGTGGTAAGATTTTGCATTTGGATTTTCAGTTACGAAGTCAAGGGCCATAGTTTGTTTCTTTTTAAGCACAATGCTATTCAACGGGCTATCTGTGCTGTGTTCACCATAGGCATCGAAACCCGATTTTTCGCGTGATAAACCCTCACTTATCGCTGAGTCACCAGGGAGAAAGGATAAAAGTAGATTTTTTTCGGGGTGGGTGAGTGGATATTTCATTACTTATAAGTCATTTAATTGGAATATTTTTATAATAAAGATTTTTTATTACAGAAATTAATTAGTAAAATAGTTGATTTGAAAATTTTATTAAACGATTTCTCGAAGAAACATTGACCCCTTAAATATAATAAATAATAAAGTATTTCACACGATACTGCACGTTCTGTATATTATGTATATTAAGTTATGTATATTAAGAAAGCGGCTATTGAAAAGTGGGTTTTTATTTTATAAGTTATTTAAGTTTTCGACTTAATCAATAGACGACCCTTATAAATGTAAAAATAGAAAAAAAAATTGAAACCTTTGTTGTTTTTTTTTGTTAGCGCAAAGCTACACAATAGGCTATTTGCGCTCTGTCCACGAGGGGAACAGAACCTAGGATTTTAGAGTTGTAAGTCCGGAAACTCACAGCTCACCCACCTTGGGACCTCTTGAAATCAATGAGCAAAATACCAAAGAGGCGTTCTTCTGGAATCAATAAGGCCTTTTTTTTGTATAAAAAATACATTTAGTACTAGTTTAAAATTATTTTGTTTGTTTTCTTAAACGTGTGTTCAGGTTTCGGGTATTTCCCAAAACGTGATAATACGTGAAAAATTCAAATGAAACTGGACGTCAATTTATTTTCACCAGATAATTTAAAAGAGCTCGAAAAGGAAAGAAAAACGATACAACAGCATGAAACTAGAAACAGCAGTGCAACAAATTCGTCAACAAAATGACAGGACAAGTCATAATTCCCACAATATGAAATTGTTGTTTTAGTAAAAATCTACACATGATATGTTCAGCTTTATTTCATCACGAATTGCATGGTTCCCAACACATGCCAAATTTTGTCAAATTCACGAAAATAAATCTTCAGAATGTAAAATCAAAATAAATGCAGACATCAACACCATCAAGTCGATTAAATATAGATAATATTCAGGAATATGACCTACATTCGGGTAACTCTGTACCGGCCGCCATGTTGTGTGTGAGCTATCGATAATCTATCTACTCAACTTAGCGAGGCGTTAAATAAATGCACATATAACATTATGTGATTATTGTTGAACCAACTTTCACAAAATAATCAATAATTAACAAATATTGATAAATAAGATGTGTTTTTTTCCTTATACGTGTAGTCAAGAAAAGTACCGGAGGTTTAGAATGAAATAAACATGATGCGCACG